TCTCCTGTGCACCCACAGGGGTTTATATAAAATCAGTGGAGCCAAGATACTGACAGTATATATGAAGTGGCTTTGTCTTTACAGCCAAAACAAATCACAGATTCCCACCTGTCAGATTTGGTGTTTTTCCTTCAGTACCGTATCACATGCCTAACTGTTGCATAGGATTTTAGGACCAGGCACTGTGCCCACCTGCTTCCTTCTTTTTGCTTCAGCTCACTGTGCCAGGAGTTCCTCTTGCTTCACTTAGAGGGACATCTAATCTTAGGCCTGTGGAGCAAATACAGACCACCAGGATAGAGCTCACAGGAAGTTTTTACTAAAAGAATTTTTTTTTTTTTCTGATTTAGTTGGCATATATAAGCTAGTAAAATATAACCACTTGCCAGGAAGGAATTGGAGGTGTTTGGTGTGAACGTGGAAAACGCCATTTGCTAAAAATAAGTACCTACAATGAATGTTCAAAAATAATCAAGTTTTTTATTAGAAGATAAGAAAATATTGTATTACATGTCTTGTGCTTTGAATTCTGCAGTCGGGTTTGTTGCATGATGTGGTTGAGGAAGTGATGAGAGTGGTCACCTTCCTGGAGGTTCATGTCCTTAATTGTTGATGGAATAAAGGGGAGTGAAGCAGGTAGGTATGGCCAAGCCATAGAAGTCAATTGAAGACATTTACTGAACTGTCATATCAGGTCAAGGCTTCTTGGTTTAAGTGAGTCGAAGAGGCCCAAATTATGGGTCCCTCAGGAGCTCACAGAATTGTCCTTTCTGACTGCTCTGCCCAGCCCTGTGAACACAGTGCGAGAATGAGCTCATTAGTACTGAGTTTTTTCAAGGAGGTTCAGAGACTCATATAGGTCATGTGAATTAAGCAGGTGGCAAATGGAAATCAGACTCTTCTCCATTACTGAATTGCTCCGAGTTCAAAATGGAATTGTGTATTTTAAAGAGATGCAGTCCTTTTCAGTGGAAATTGAATTATAACTTCAGAAGAGGTTTTCAAACTCTTTGATATAAATCATTTGAAAACAAGGAAACAGCACATGCAATGACCAGCAATGAGAGGACCTGGGGACTTTGAGGAACGGACCAGGTTAGCATGAGCAGAGGGCTGGGTGAGAGGTGGGAGAGAGGAAAACGCTGCTGGCCACTGCGTGGTGACGGTGGAGCCATGTCAGCAGGTTCGTGTTTTAGAGAGAACGCCCAGGCAGATGCGACTGGCACAGGGTCTTCGTGGGGATCCAGCGTGAGATGAAGGGGGCCTCCAGGAAGGGTGTGGCAGTGAGGATGGGAGGAGTCGACATAAGGAGTTATGTCTTTTGTAAGGTCCTTAAAATTGTGTAAGGGGAAATTTATAGTCAGAACTACCCATGAAAGTCTCTCAGGAAGGCCTGTGTAAGAGACTAACATAACAGCTCTCAGTAAGTGAAGAAAACGAATTTTCCTTCGGCACAGAGGAATTTTCTTCTGCACCAGCTGAGGTAGTTGACTTATATTTAGGGGTACAGTACAGTGTATAAAAAGCACACAGCGTTTGTTAGAAATTGCCCTCGGTCCAGCAATATGCTCACACTTTGAGAGTGTGTAGGTTGTAGTTGAGATCACCTGCGAGAAATCAGACTCATGGAGCCAGTACTCACTGAGTAGAATGGAGGCAGAGTTTTTGGATTATTCACGTAGTTATTTCTCCTGCTCTTGTATTTGGCCTCATTGTTCCTGCTTGTACCCTCACGGGCTAGTATGCTGTCATTTTCTGAAGCATGTATGGTTGGTTAGGATGAGTTATATATAGGTAGCAGAGATACGCAGGAGGTAGAATTCATGGATGTCAGTGATTAGAATTGGTGGCACAAGAGGAAATCTAGGATGACTCAGAGTTTTAGGTTGGGCAGTGCATAGATGGTAGTGTGATTGGTTGAGATGTGAAATGTTAGAAGAAACTCACTTGAGGGAGGATGAAGAAGAAGAGTTTAGTTTGTATATGTTGTGGTCTAAGGGTAACTGCTGCACAGGTAAAGAAGCCTGGAAGGAACCAGCTCAGGCTGCAGATGTTGATTTAGGAATCAGTAGCATTTACATGTTGATTATTGATTGAAAGGTAACTGATTACCAAAAATAAAATATGTCATCCTTGGTATTTTAGAGATGAATGTAGGAATCCATGATTGTCTTGAAATCTCTAGGTCAAGTTCAGGTTACAGGTCTGTGAAAAAACTTTTTTTTTTTTTGAGACAGAGTCTCGCTTTGTTGCCCCTGCTAGAGTACAGTGGCGTCATCATAGCTCACAGCAACCTCAAACTTCTGGGCTCAAGTGATCCTCCTGCCTCAGCCTCCTGGGTAGCTGGGACTGCAGGCACTCACCACTGCAACTGGCTAATTTTTCTATTTTTTGTAGAGATGGGTCT